ACTGGTACGATAACAAAAAATAATAATATCTGACTGGCACAAGCAAGCACTTTTGCAGCAGGGAAGGAAGCAAGTTGAATATTGGCTTCACCTGTAATCTCTAATGCTGCTCTGCCCCCTTGTGCTGCTGTAGTGAACTTGACTGAAAAGCAGCTTGGCTGTCTTTGTACATGAAACCCACTCTCTCTCACACACACATACACAAAGCCACTGTCACTTCTCACTGTTCTGGCAAGTTCAAGGTCAGTGCCTAGCTATTTTCAGCTCATCTCTTCTTGATCCATTCAGAGAGATGACAAGGTAACGTGATTTGGGGTCAGCTGTATTACAGGAACCGTTACATAAAGGGAGAAAGTAGAAATCAATCCTAGCTGACAGTGTCTTCAGGATAATCAGCGCTCACTCCATGCCGCTGTCAGCTTCCCTGCATCAAACACCATGTTACTTCTGTCAGATCTTTTTAACAGAACCATATTCTCACTTTTGGCAAAGTAAATAAATATTTCACTTGGGCTTACATTAAATTCATTGTTGGGGAACTTTACCACCTTGGCCTCTTCCAACAAACCCCCCATTACATTTGTTAGAAAAACATATTCTCTCAATATGTAAATTCTTAGCCGTGGCCATAAGAGACGATGGGGGAACGATGCAGTGGTTTTTTTTAGGGGGGGGTGTCTTCTTTTATACTTTCAATCCTCTCCCCCCACAACCACAGCCACTTTTCCTCCAACTACATCTGCTTCTCGAAACGTTTGCCTAAATGATGCTCATCGCTGCGCCGATTCTATTAAGGTTTTGCCGTAATGTTTTAAGACACCTTTCTCAATTTGTTTGATTACGATCCCTCTCCCTGAATCATTTCCTCCCTGCAACTAGACATCTTCTTCTGTGCGGAATTATGAACATATCATTTCACAAGATGGGCTGCAGTTTAGTGGCGTTTCAGCGACAGCACATGGTATGTCAGTTTAGGGGAAAGAGCTGCTATTCCATCCCACCCACCTTGTGCTCCCATGAAACTGCCAAAGCCTGCAGTACTTCTCGGAAGAGCAATTTACCATAATATTAGTTGTCAGTAAATTCAAAGACAGAGCTCCTAAAGCCATAAAATGGATTAGAAGCCATTTTTTGAAAGAATTTTTTTTTTTAACAAACTAGAGTAAGAGTATACTGTCAACAAACAAATGCTTCATCATAGCACTGTAATTTGGAATTTTAATTACCCCTCTGCTTCTGTAACAAAACAATGTCTGAACTGGCAGCCATTTGAATCTCTCACAGGTCATTGAGCATTCTAGTTAATTACTCTATGAATAGCCTGTTTTTCTCCCCTCTGGAAACACGTTTCTAATGGCAGTCAAGGTCTGACAAATGTGTCATCTACATAATTAGCTAGGAAGCAACACAAAACATTAAACATGCTTTGTGCCGACAACTATCAAAACATTTCATTTGTTGTCAATTATTCATTACTTTGTAGGTTCTGAAGGGGTTGTTATTATGGAAATAAGTCCAGATGCTAACAAGGTTAGAGCTTTTGATTCAAATTAGTAATCAGAGGACTAACTTTACCAAAAAAAAAAAAAAGTATCCCCTCGTACATTTGTGGCAGCATTCAATCGGCAGTGAATTATAAACGAATTTAGCTAAGTTCAAGTTTAAAATTGTGGCAACATAGTGTGATCACTAATGTGCAGAGTTGCATCCTCCTTTGAAGTGCAAGGATCTAAGCAGAAGTAGTAAACTTTCAGGACCTTTGGCAAGACTAATTTGTACTTGGTAAATAGACTAAAATATTTTCACAGCATGACATGTCAGAACATAGGGGATAGGGGAGAGCCTGGAAATTTTCAAAACGTTTTATCCAATCTATGCATTCTATTTGATAAAATAAAATAAAAATAAAAATGATGGTGGTGACGGAGCAGCCATCCCAGCTCACACAGTATTTCATCTAGTTTTCATCATACTGCCTAACCTTTCTATCAAGGGGTTGGAGTAAATTAAATCTGGCTTTCAAAAATTGTACTGAAGATTTCTCTTCTATGAAACACCATTAGAGTGTTTTCCAGCAAATTAGATGGATAAAACTATAGGGGGGGCAATTTACAATGGAGGGGAATTTTAATTTGATGCCTTTGTCATCCTTACTTCCAGTTACCTGAAACTTGCTCCAACAGGCTAGGAAAAGGGACGGATACAGAGCACAGTTATTTTACCAATAACATATAGCATATCAATAAAATAGGAGAATCTCAGTATTAGAAAAAACGTAGCAAAATACACAGAAGATGCCTAGTCCTAAAGAAATGAGCTTAGACGTGTCTAACTCTGCATATGAATCAAGCTATGTGTCTTAAGTATTAAGATAATCGCTGCTAGAAAAACAGGAAAGGAAGAAATTACTGGCCAGGGAAAGAACAACAAAGTGTGATTCTTATCAAACTGAACCAAATGCTCAGATTGCTATGATTTCATACTAGCTTCCCCATCACCCTTACCCCACTTCTCCAAAACCAGAATTCAGCCCACTGCCCTTCAAAGTAAGAATGCAAACAACCAGCTGTCCAGATGAGCTCTTTTGCCTTCTCTTACTTGGTGGTAGCAGAATGCATGGAAAATGGCAGCAGTATGGGCAGTAGCCTCACTTCATGATTTCCTGTATTAACAACTCCCTGCAAATAGGAAGCCAGCACAGCTGGCAATGGGCTGGGCCTTTCTTCCTGATAATGCTAGTTTCAGTTTGCAGGGAGAATTTTGTTTTATGTGGGAATATTCAAAATTGGTGTCCCTCAGCTGTAGTCTAAGGTGACACAGTCCTTTATACCACCTCAGCAGTCTTAGAGACTCATTCTGCTGTTTGCCTTAGCATTCCGTGCCACGTAGCATGGACAATTTCACCATATCAAGGTCATACCTGTGGTAAAATGGTCATCCATATTGACTTATACGTAGATGTTCTTTAGAATCATAGAGTTGGAAGGGACCCAAGGGTCATCTAGTCCAACCCTCTGCAATGCAGGAATCTCAGCTAAAGCATCCATGACAGAAGGCCATCTAACCTCTGTTTAAAAACCTCCAAGGAAGGAGAGGCCACCACTTCTCATGGGAGTCTGTTCCACTGCTGAACACCTCTGTCAGAAAGTTTTTCCGAATGCTTGGTCAGGATCTTCTTTCTTGCAACCTGAAGCCATTGGTTCAAGTTCTACTCTCCAGAGCAGGAGAAAACAATCATGCTCTCTCCTCCATGTGACAGCCCTTAATATACTTGAAGATGGCTATCATATCTCCTCTCAGTCTCCTCTTTTCCAGGCTAAACATATGCAGCTCCTTCAAGCGCTCCTCATAAGGCTTAGTTTCCAGACCCTTGATTATCTTGGTTGCCCTCCTCTGCACACATTCCAGCTTTAGATGTTCTTCAAGCTGTATGGGAGCCACTTATTCATATCTGCCTCCTGTACAGGCAGGATAACATCTAAATGACCCCCTACCATGGGGGCATGGTCTGATTATATGGTTCTTTTTATTCTATAGAATCAGCACCATTCCTACAGCCCACATGGCTGGGCTACTGAAATGCCACACAAGAACTGCTCGTGAATAGCCACACAAGAACTGCTCGTGAATAAGTAATTTTTATGCAGCTGGAAAATACCTAAAGAACACCATATATCTATAACCTCAATCCCGCTAAAGTTAGAAGTAAATCCATCCAAACTGGATTTACATTAGCACCTTATTGCTTTGATTTATATTTTGACTCGGGCATCCTTTACAGTGAAAAGTTTCATATTATAATCATGCTGTAGAAGTCACTTTTCTATGGGTTCATCCTGTGCCCCTGAATTCACATACCTACTACTACATCAGTGGGGTCTCACCAGTTGTGGTTTGTGGCTTTTAGCATTAAAGCCATAATGCAACAGGAATGAAAACATAAAAAAGCAGCTCCCACCAGGGGACTGTAACATGGAAAGCAAATGGGGGGGGGGGGGACACTCAACTTCATCTGGATTAGAGACAAGGTTTCCTGAACAAAACCTAAACTCACTGATTAGTTTACGTCAGCTTTCTTACATGGGGGGCGGGGGGAGAGTGTACATGATCATGTGTGAAGTACTATGTCAGTGTTTATTTTGCCATGAGTTCAAGCACAAAGAAACTACTCAACACCTATGGTGCAGCACTGTGTGAAGTTGATCTCAAAAATGTAAGACTTGCAGATGAAGCTGTATCTGTGTTGCCCTCAAAACATCCCACCAGGTGAGACTTTTTTCAGAATAATTAGCTGATAGGAGAATAGTCAAAATCTCACTCTGAATACTGTGCTTTAAAGAATTGTAGAACTGGAAGGGATCCCAGAGGCCATCTAGACCAACCCCCTGCAATGCAGAAATCTCAACTAGATCATATATGGCAGATGGCCATCCAACCTCCAAGGAAGAGTCTACCACCTCTTGTGGGAGTCTGTTCCACTGTTGAACAGCTCTTACTGTCAGAAAGGTATTCCTGATGCTTAGTCAGAATCTCCTTTCCTGTAACTTGAATCCATTGGTTTGAGTCTTACCCTCCAAGCAGGAGAAAACAAGACTGCCCATCTCTCATGTGATAGCAGTTTAGATACTGAAGATGGCTATCGTATCTCCTCTCAGTCTCCTCTTTCCCAGGCTAAACCTATCCAGCTCCTTCAACCATTCCTCATAAGGCTTGATTTCCAGAACCTTGATCATCTGGGTCCTCCTCCTCTTTACACCTTCCAACTTGTCAACATCCTTCTTAAATTGTGTTGCCGAGAACTCAACACAGTACTCCCGGTGTGGTCTGAACAAGGCAGAAGAAAGAAAGACCATTACTTCTCTTGATTGGGACATTATACTTCTGTTAATACAGCTTATAAAAGCATTGATTCATGCTAAGCTTGTGATCCAATAAGACCCATATATCCTTTTCACAAACCAGGTGTCCCCCATTCTATATTTGTGCAGGGGATCAAATGTGCCTCTCCAGGATAGCTCAGTTGGTTAGGGCGTAGTGCTGATAATGCTAAGGTTGCAGGTTCAATCCCCATATGGGACAGCGGCATATTCCTGCACTGCAGGGGGCTGGGCTAGATGATCCTCAGAGTCCCTTCCAACTCTACAATTCTATGTTTCTAGGCCTGTCTACCTGAACCTTAGAACTTTCTCCAGGCCACACCCCTCACTGGTCCTGCTTTGCACCCCAAGTGTTTTTGCCCGGCTGGAATTTGTACTTGACTTTTGCTTCCTGAATATAGTATAGAAAGGAGTGTTTAGACAGGGTGTGTAGAAACTAGCCTACTGTACAAGGGTGCAATTTACATTTGTTTGCTCCATACACTTTAGCCTCTGGCCCTGCCCACCACTGGCATGTGGCCATCAGAAGGCTACCTAGCCTTAAGTTTGAAAAGGGCCCTGCCCACCACCACTGATCTAAAACATTAATGGCATTTGTTGTTTAGTCGTGTCCGACTCTTCGTGACCCCACAGACCAGAGCACGCCAGGCATTCCTGTGTTCCACTGCCTCCCGCAGCTTGGTCAAACGCATGCTGGTAGCTTCAAGAACACTGTCCAACCATCTTGTCCTCTGTGTCCCCTTCTCCTTGTGCCCTCAATCTTTCCCAACATCAGGGTCTTTTCCAGGGAGTCTTCTCTTCTCATGAGGTGGCCAAAGTATTGGAGCCTCAGCTTCAGGATCTGTCCTTCCAGTGAGCACTCAGGGCTGATTTCCTTCAGAATGGATAGGTTTGATCTTCTTGCAGTCCATGGGACTCTCAAGAGTCCCTCCAGCACCATAATTCAAAAGCATTGATTCTTCGGCAATCAGCCTTCTTTATGGTCCAGCTCTCACTTCCATACATCACTACTGGGAAAACCATAGCTTTAACTATATGGACCTTTGTCGGCAAGGTAATGTCTCTGCTTTTTAAGATGCTGTCTAGATTTGTAACTGCTTTTCTCCCAAGAAGCAGGCGTCTTTTAATTTCGTGACTGCTGTCATCATCTGCAGTGTATGCCATTATTGGCATACATGGGGCCAATTCACACTTGTCAATGGCCCCCAACAAAAATGCATCCAGAGCAGGTGAAGTCAACTGCAGTGTGATCTGGCCCCAAAATGGTCAGCTGAATAGTACTAAAAATTCTCACTACCACCTGGTAAAATGTAAAACCTGACTGATTTTGCAAGTGGTTATATAACACCATTGTAGGCTACCACTTGATAAATGGTTATTTGCATTCAGCTTGTGCTCCAGACTGTCACAGATGTTAATTTGTTGAGATAAGTACTGGCTGGGAACAGATACTTTTCAATGCTGGTCTTGAACCAACCATGAGAGCCCTTCAATTTATTCTTTCAATCTGTCAGCCAAGATTTTTTCCATTTGGACGCTGCCATTTTGTCATATAGCACCTCACGGTAAAAGTCAAGATGGAGGAGCCATATATAATCCAGTGCACTGACTGTCATGTGCAATGTCTCTGTGTTCAGTAAAGGCTAAGAAAATAAGCTCTTGGGGGGGGATGACAGGGGAGGGACGGCACGAGGAGTAAAATAATTTTAGTTTTGAGGCAATCTGAAGCAGCAAGGTTTTTTTTTATTAGAAAACAGAATCTTATGGGTGTCTTGCCCATTATTGCTTGAGAAAATGTTTTTGTTAGTGTCTATATTTCTCCCAGTAGAACAAAGAACAAAGTAGAAAGCAAAACAAATCTTCAAAAAAAAAGCCCTTCCACTAAATATACTCTTTTAAAAATGTGTTCTAATGATCTTTTCCAAGAAGGAAATAATCCATTTTCAACTAAAATTACCTGCAGCTATAACTGGGGGAGGGGGCAGGGGGAGATCATGAAGCTAGAAACAATTTTGAAAGGACTGCAGTCTCTTTTAATTAAAACTAAACAGATTACATATTTACGCAGAAGTCAAAATATTTTGGAAGCTGATAAACCTGTAAGCCTTAATGCAGTAGAAAAACAAGAAATAAATGCAAAGTGTTACTGTTACACATGCCTGCCTGATCAACGGTTTTCACGTATTGATCTATAAATGGAGTTGACAGTCTGTGTTAGCTGCACATTTTCCAAGCAGCTCTATTTTTGTACAAAACCAATACGGGCAATTACCTTTCTTTGAGATGCCAACTCTTATCAATTCAATGTGATTTAATGTCATATTAATTAAATATCAGGATCTACTTCGGGACAATCTTCACAAAGCAAGCCTCAAACTTGACTACAAGCTTGATGTGAAGTAAACACACACAACAGCCTCGCCTCTCCTGACGTTGCTCAAAAAGCTCTACTCAACAGAAGCACCAGTAATTTTAGCAATTTTATTTGTCTCTTTGGCTAGCTGTAACTTTGGCAAGTAGTCGAGGTTCTGGGAAGGGGGAGGATAGCAAGAAACAAAGGAAAACAGCTTCCTGAATCTTTGATAGTGTATTAGAGATAAATAAGACAACCAAGTCTGTTTCATCTAATCAAAAAGAACTCTAATTCATTAACATTTTGGAATGACTAAACAGACTCTGATTCTTAATCTGAGCACCAATGAAAGACGTTACATGCTTTGAATTTGCACTGAATGAGACAAAATGCACCACTCTGAGATTTAAGAGATGAAAATGGTTAATATTCATGCACAATGAGGGACTGCATATGAACAGAAAGCATAGGAAGAGCTCTTGCTTAATAGAGTCCATGCCCAGCCTTAAGATTTGTGTAGTTGAGATAAGACATTAATATCATTTCATCTATTATGGACTAGTCTTAGCAGCATGGAAATTCCCACTGAAAACTAGGCAAAACTACAGAAGGACTAAGCATATTTTTGCTCCAAGTTGCCAGCTGACAGCACCAGTTCTATATGCATAATGGTGAAACAATTTGATCTCTGTCTGAAAAATAGTCCCAGTATGTACATGTATGCAGCCATGAATGTTAAAAATACAACATGTTCTACACATCTGCAACATCAAACGAACCTTGATATTTCACGGTTGCCACAAAAGGCCTTGTACTTTTTCAACTATGTTTTGCAGCATATATTTTTTGTATGATTGGCAGCAACATCTGAAGGCTTAGACAAATTCAGTGAGTTGGCAAAGAAAAATTGGCACAGAGTCAAAAGTTCCAATACAGCAGGCTTAGTAGATTGCTGAATATGAATACAATGAAACTAGAGCTGTCACCTGATTAAAGAACTTTTAGCTGATTAATCATATGGCTTTCAATTGATTAGTTTTTAGTGAATTAAATCCACATATGTATTCTGATGAACAAATCAATTGCTTTTTTGTGGGGGGATGTAATTTCTATATTTTCAGATGGTACATACATCACAGAAAACTGTATCAGAAGCAACTTCCATTCTGTGTTGAGTAGTAGTAGGAAAGTCTCCTGCAATATCAAATCTGCTACCTGCAGTTCTTACAGTATGTGCATTAAAAATTACTTATGATTTTAAATAAATATCTGGTTGTCCATTAATTGGCGCACCTTAGTTGGTGAAAGTATTCTAATCCACTACAAAACTGAATGTTGCAGCCTCCACCCCCCCAATGTCCCCAAAATCTTCTACAGAGGTTGTCCCAGCCCTGCTAAAGAGATTTGTATGGGTGAGTGGTGAGTTGCATGGAATAGGAGAGGAAGGGGAATTCCTACTGTGCCAGAAGAAGTCTGTTTCACTCATCAACAGGCACCACGGGCTATCACCCTATGATTACACATCCCCAACGAACCAGAATGGATCGGTGAACAAAGTGCTGAGCTTAATAGTTATGGGTTCCAATTCTAGGCCAACTCTAGACTTAATAGCAGCTTTTCCCCATTTTTAACAAATCTCATCTGTAGAACTATGCTAATGTTCTACACATAAATACTTAAAAGCATGTTTATATATAAATGATTAACATTAAAATAGTGCTCATTAAATATTTTATTTACTACTGATGATTATTGCCCATTTGTCACCCAAAGGTCCCAGGATGGGTTACACAGTAAAGAAATCCAAATAAAACTGACAATAATTATATTTAAGTGAAATTGCCAGCAGCTATGGAGATCTACAGAGGCTGCACTTTAAAATGCTTATTGGGAAACCCTACCAAAATCAGGGTATAATCTACTCACAAATCTAGGAGAAAGACCTGTGTATGGGTGCATGAAGCTGGATACAGGTATTTCCAGCTTCCTCTGCTTTGCTTCCTGCTATATTGGACTTTTGCTCTGCCAAATAGATATACATTAGTTTGGTGTTGCCAGATTTATACAGGTACACCTTTTCATAAAATCCCACGAACTGCAATATAGTTGGTGTAGCTTACAAATGTGATGGACGTAATTTAATTTCAAAAATATGGGGCAGAGAAAGATTTTTAACCTTCCCTGTTCTAGGACTCTTGACACATCAACCAACCAACATGTACTTCTGTGCAAACCGTTTCCATTCAGAATCCCACTGGTTTTTCAGGATGTGTTTTGTAATGTTTGGGGTTTTGCTTAAGACTCTGGGCCTTTCCCGTTTGCCTTTCGCCAGCCACTTAACAGACTCGCTCGAGCAAATATGCCAAAATACTTTGCATTCTGTCAATATCTAGTCAGGAAACTCTGCATGGAAAAATGAGAGAGATGAAAATACTAGAAAGAGCGAGGAAATGAGGAGCATGGCAAGCTTTCAATCTATTATATCAGAGCCAAGTTTGCATGGTGAAATGACATACCCTGCGTCTCTATAATTAGCTGCTAAGAAAGCACAACTTTTTCAGCTCCCTACAAAAGAACATAAATTGCAACTGTTATGCTTGTGGAAAACCCAGCAGCAAATGTTTGGTGTCTGGTGGAACTTTTTAGATTCCTTTTTTCTTTTATCATCCCCAAGTATTCTTCTCCCCACCCCACCTAGCCACATCCCAGACCGAAAGTTATGTAACAAGGTAATACCAACAATGAGAAACTGCATGATAAAATCCTGCCCAAAAGTGAAAAATGCTAATTTTGTCTCATTTAGCAGCTGGATACAGAAATGCTCATTAGTTTTAAGAGGGTTAATCCTT